GATATGGTATTAACTGTTACACCTAATATATATGGAATTTTTTTTCTATTAATAGTTGTTCAATAATTTATAATCATTATGTGAAGAAATGATATACAACAATGATAAAGAATCTTTTTTATTCCTTTTTTTTAATCACAATTGAAACACTCCATATATATTTTTTTGACCTTTTGCATTCAATGCAACTACCAATGATCTCCTAAAGACTCAAATGTACAATGTGAACAATCAGGTACATGCAGAAAGAAATTGAAAACCACCTTGAATCGCCTCTTCTAGCTATAGAATCTAAAAACTGCTGAGGCACTAGGTTGAAGCATAAAAAGAATGAGAAAAAGGGGAGGGGGAGAGAGAGAGAGATGGAAATATTGTACTTCCTTTTGTTGGGTCAATAAAAGAAAAAGTAAGGTTTCTTGGTCATATGATCCACAAAAGTATTCTAAAAGGGCAGGCGCGTGTTCTAACGGTTTCTTGGTCATATGATCCACAAAAGTATTCCAAAAGGGTAGGTGCGTGTTCTGACGGGAGGAGTTAAAGAGTTTCAACGGGGTACTACGAAGTCAGAGGCATTAGTGAAGGAGTACAAGCTTAAACTAGTGGCATCTTTGATTTGCCTTTCGATAGACATCGACATTTTTCGAACTTGATAATCTCTAATTTGATCAGGAAAACAGCTATTCAACGAAGCAACAATTATTCAACTGAACCAGAAAGCAAGACTTTAAGGCTCTTGCATTTTCAATCAAACTTAGCAGCATATTTCGGGCCTTCCAATGGGGTTTGTATTGAGAGTTAAATCATCTTGACTGTATATAATAATTCAGACTTTACCCAAATGCCCATTCACAAAGCCATCTCCACCATATATATAGCAGATTGCATAAAGTTCCACCTCCCTGAGCTACCGTAGCAAAGGCGTGCAGCCTCTCCCTAGGCCTTTGGAGAGGAGAGAACAGAGAAAAAAATCTCTAAGCACAAGTTTTTTTTGACTTCCAGTAAAAACTACACAAGCAACTGCAACAAGAATCTAAAAAAGCATAGAGCATTGAGTGGGTTGCTTGTTTTTCTTCTCTCTCTTATCACTGTACTTGGTCTTTCTTCATTCATGAAATTTTTTGGGAAAAAAATTTAGGTAACTTTCTGTTACTAATTAAAACAACTACAATCTAACAAGTTCACACTATTAATCAATAAGATCCAAATATTTGTGACCAATTTTAAAAAATTTGAGATCAATCTTAGCAACAAAAAAAAAAATCTCAAGTTTTTTGGCCTGATCCTAAATTGAGTTGTAACTTGCCTTAATTGTATTATAACTTTCGGTCCTTCTATTTTACGGATTACACTACGGTATCCAAAATGTAGTAACATTTATCCAAAATATAGTAAATGGACACAAAAAGTAAATGTACTCCAAAAGATGATAAGTGGTATGATAGAAAAAAAAAAACCAAACCCTTTTTTACAATGGGACAAACCTTTTCTTGATTGGGTCCATTAAACATTAAAATTGGGTGTTAATCTAATAGTAGTTCCAATAAAATCATATAATTAATTTACTTTAACCTTTAGATTGATCGTAGGTCCTATCAAACATTAAAATTTAGTGTTAATCTAATAGTTCTAATGAAATAATATTATTAAGTCAACAAATTAGGTCAAATTATTATGCTAAAATAGCATTATTCTTTTTTTTTTTTATCAAATATGATATTTTATCTATTTTTTCAATTTTTTATCATTCTAACTTTTCATTCTTCCATTTTTCCATCATACTAAACAGAAAATTAAAAACTTTTGCCAAATACCTCTTACCTCTTGCCTCTTGCTTTTAATTTTTTGCATCATGACAATGAATACCTCAAGTTGTGCTTTCTATCTACGCATGCAACTGTACATTCATCAAGCATTAATTTAAGGGTTGCATTTAAATATGTCATGTATGGGTCTTACCCAGTCTTACTTTTGCCAAAATAGTATCATTTTGGTGATCAAGGGCCAGGTTTTTACTTTTCCTACGCCCCCTGATCACTTTCAAGTATAAGTAATCAAAACTTTTGACCTTCTCAGTATTGTCTTTTGATTGAACTGAAAGCTTTTTGACTCTTTTCCTACCCTATGGAGCCTCTACAACTAGGGGAGCATACAACAATGCTACATGCTTTAAATTTTATTGACCAAAATTATTCTAGAACTTTTTAATTATTCTTTTTCTTTGTGTAATGAGCAATAGGGTCAACATTGGACTCAAATCTTCAAAATAAGTTCTGAATATTTGTAATTACCCAATAATTTTAAGTATCGATTAAACTCAAGAGTCACTAGTAATAAAGTGTAAGACATTCGAGTTTATAATTCATATCAAGTTCAACTCCATACTTATCAATGGATCTCTGATCCAATGATATTTTTTATCTTGTAAAAGTTTTGTCTTCTTCAGATCAAGTGTTCAAGTCTCCCCTTCCTCTTTCNTTACCCAATAATTTTAAGTATCGATTAAACTCAAGAGTCACTAGTAATAAAGTGTAAGACATTCGAGTTTATAATTCATCTCAAGTTCAACTCCATACTTATCAATGGATCTCTGATCCAATGATATTTTTTATCTTGTAAAAGTTTTGTCTTCTTCAGATCAAGTGTTCAAGTCTCCCCTTCCTCTTTCCCCTCCCCCCAAAAAAAAAAGTTCAACTCCATACCTATCCAAATTTGTAAAAGACTGCTAAAGTTGGTGGTTTTAATTTTGATATTTTTATGAAATTGATAGTAGATCTAATTTGGTACGAGGATCCATTGTAAATCCAAGAGCAACAGTGATTGTAATTAATAGTTTCCAGAGTATTCTTCCANCTCCCCCCCCAAAAAAAAAAAAAGTTCAACTCCATACCTATCCAAATTTGTAAAAGACTGCTAAAGTTGNCCCCCCAAAAAAAAAAGTTCAACTCCATACCTATCCAAATTTGTAAAAGACTGCTAAAGTTGGTGGTTTTAATTTTGATATTTTTATGAAATTGATAGTAGATCTAATTTGGTACGAGGATCCATTGTAAATCCAAGAGCAACAGTGATTGTAATTAATAGTTTCCAGAGTATTCTNTTAATCCAAGAGCAACAGTGATTATAATTAATAGTTTCCAGAGTATTCTTCCAACTGATGCACTGGGTTTAGTGGGAACTGCTAAAAAGCAGACGCTAAAGTTTGAACCCATTGCCATCGCCGCCCAANTAAATCCAAGAGCAACAGTGATTGTAATTAATAGTTTCCAGAGTATTCTTCCAACTGATGCACTGGGTTTAGGGGAACATGGGAACTGCTAAAAAGCAGACGCTAAAGTTTGAACCCATTGCCATCGCCGCCCAATCATAAAACAGGAGACATTCTTTGATAAATATCAACTTGTATTTTTGTTTATTCATCCACAAACTCAAAAGAAACTTTATAAGAATTGAATATTAGTGAGCAAAGATGCCCTTTAGGTACAGAGGAGGAAGACAGGCCAATGGCATTTGATTAACAGTATGAAAGAAAATATGTGATTTGTTTATTTATCACATATTAAAATAAACTTTATTGCCCATACTTGACGGCATGGGATAATAATAAAAAAATTTCAATCATAAATATATTTAAATTCACACCCAAAATCAACGCACAAATATAAAGGAGAGAAAAAAAATTTTAAGTACCGGTTGTAATGGGGGTGATCGGTAATAGTGGTGGTGGTAGTGACAGACGGTGATGGTTATGGTGGGTGGCGACGACTATAGTAGTGGTGGCAGCCGTGGTGACAATGGCGATGATGGTGGTAGTGACAGTCATGGAAGATGACGGTAGTGGAGGTGGGTGACGGTTATGGTGGTCAACAATGGTGGTGGTGGGGCGATGACAGGAGTGGTGGTGATGGTGGGTTGTAGTGGTGGGCGATGGTGGTGACAAATGGCGATAGTGGTGGTAGGAGTGATGGTGGAATAGTGACGGTAATGGTAAGGTGACGACAATAATAGTGGTAATGGTGGTGGTGGGGCGATGGTGGTGGTAGGGTAGCGACAGCGATGGTGGTGGTGTGGTAGGGTGGCAGCAGCAATGGTGGTGGTGATGGTGGTGTTGGGGGCAACAATGGCAGTGGCAAATAGTGGTAATAGTGGTGGCGGGTGGCGGTAGTGGTAGTGGCGGACGTGGCGATAGTGGTAGTGGCGGACGTGGCGATAAGGGTGGGGCCATGGGGGTGGTAGTGGGGCGATTTCAAGCGTTAGTTTTTTTTTTTTGAAATTCTTATGAAAAGTTATAAATCTTAAAAACACTTTTAAAAAGTCGCCCCAAACATATTCTTAAGAACTTATTTTTCCTATTAAATTTGGGTATTAATATTAGACGTTGAATTAATTTAAAATAAAATTTTAAAAAATCTAAACTACCAAAAATAACAATTATTTTATTTATTTTTTAATATTTAAATTATATTATACTTTATACCCTCAACTGTGGTCCAGTTTCTTTAAGCTCGACGGATGGATGGATCACTCCACATCTGATACGATTAACTAAATAGGTAAGATTAATAAAAGACAAACCTGAGATTGATGCCGATGAAACCCATCCCCTTTGGGCCTCGTTCTACAAAGCCATGTGGTCTTGGGGATGGGCTGCCATCCATCTGGGTTTTATGACATCTCCTTTATCTCCCAAAGTCCTGGTGGACTGAACTTGGGTACTTGTTTATTTTGAATCAACACCGTAAAACCAGTAAACCAAATTAGCCCCATTATCCCTTCATAACCGGTTTGGATCATGTTACAGAGCTAATGTTAAAAATTTTATTAAACACCCATCCAATATCATCTAACATTTTATTCCAAAAATGACATAATTTCTTCCAACTTACTACGGCAGAAGAAAAAAAATCCAAGTCATTGATTGAGATAGCAAAGCCGTAACAACATAAGGAGAAGATGATGACCAAAGTAGTTCTACTAGACGAAAGAGTGATGAGTGATGCATTGATACAAGGTTTGTTGGTTTTTGCCAACTTACTACCATTCATTAATATCTCATCGCACATACAACTCCATCCTTCAAAATAAAATTAAATAACATAAATTCTGACTACGGAACAAGAACATAAGGAAACTATTTTACCCCTACAACTAGTATAAACTACACCATCTAATATTAGCAATGCTACCCACGATTCCAAAATCATGTCAAAGGTGAAGACAATGACACATACACTCCTAGCTATAGAGCATAATAAATTGCAGTGCTCAAATGAAGCTGCAGAAGAAAGATTTATCTTTCCGCTGTTTGCTTCACTTCTCGCAACCACGATGTATCTTGTGATTTACCCTTCAGACTTCCGGAGTTTTTTCACCGAACCAGGTGATTTTGCCTTCATAACCTCAGTTTCTTTCCTCTTTGATGAACTAGGTTTCACCTTCCCCATACCATTAGCACTGGATTTGTTGCTACTTTGGGGTGTTTTTCCCTTGGACTTGGTGAGAGTCTTTGGAGTATCTTGCTTGGACTTGGTAGTAGTATTGGGTGTGCCACCATCAACATCTTTCGATTTGCTATCAATTTTGCCATCATCCCTCGATTTATGACCAGATTTGGCAGATGTGCCTTTGGATTTGGTAGAGGAAGCAGCTCCAACCCTTCCAATCAGTTATTTTATCATATCAAAATTCAATTTTATAATAATACAAACAACGAATGAAAAAAAACATTAATGAGCACAGAAGAGTTACAAACCTTTTAGGAGAAACCTCCATCTTTTCTAGCTTAGCAGAAGGTTCAGAATGCATTTTAGCTTTCTTCCTTTTGTGCCTGCTAGCATGAAAGCAACTTGTAAAGCCACATGAGTCCAATAAATAATCCACTTAGCACTTAACAATAACAAAATGAAGGGGTATACATACATAAACTTGAAAAAAAAATATTGACCTAAAGTACTTATTTTAGTATCCATGTAGGACACAAAATAGCATGGATGTAAAGATGAGAGGCGTCTTTTAAAACATTTGTGCCCAGAACACATGGTCTCCAATAGGCCTATCAAAGGAGTTACAAGAACCTTCTGCCAGATATGTTCGCCTCGTGGTTTTGACCGAGTTGAACACCAGATCTGGTTATGTAGTACATATGTTACGCTATAAACATTTTTACCCATTAAACGTCCCACAATTAAGGTTAAAGTCACTTTGACACAACACCACGACATGTGTCCACGTCCATCTAACTAAGAGAATGCCACAAACATACAAGCCAACAGAACAACCAATTCAAACAGACAGCAAAACTCCAAACCATTCTAAAGCTCAAATAAGAACCTCTTTTGCAAATTCTCAAAGGCGGTCATTAAAATTGATAGAACGGCAGCACAGTTAGCTTTTCAAGCACACATCCATCGGCAAAATCTTTCTACAGCTAAAATTTAATGGGCACAAACTGGAGTGCACGCAGCATATACCCCGCCCCCGGACATAAGATCACGCCCAAGACTTCCAANAAAATTTAATGGGCACAAACTGGTGTGCACGCAGCATATACCCCGCCCCCGGACATAAGATCACGCCCAAGACTTCCAAAAAAAATCAACAAATGAATAAGTGACAACATGGACTATCCCATTAACCAAATAAAAAAATAATCTCATCACAAAGAGCACTTCAATTCTACCACCAATAATTCCAATCTTCAAGCCTTGCAATGTTTGAGGCTTGGTGGTGCCACAGCACCCATAATTATGGTGGTGTTTATGGCTGCACTAAACATTGGCAGCTTTTCATTTAAGGGTGTTAATTATCAGAAAATAGAAAATTAAAAAACAAGTCTGAAGTTGCATCCAAACTTGGGACTTCATAGCATCCATTAGAGAACAATTTCAAATTTTTGAAAGAGCAATATGAATCAACAAAAAGAAAAACATACGTGTCAGAAGAAGCATCTTGACTTGGATCTTCAGTTGCATGCTCCTGCAAACAAAAAAGGTATAAGCAAAAACATAAAAAATGAAACAAAGTAAAGATAGCAAACAACAAATTAGTTTGTAACTCACCCCATCTGATACAGAATCACCTTGGACAAACTGCCACCGTTCCTTACTTAGATTCAATATCTCTTTANCAAAGTAAAGATAGCAAACAACAAATTAGTTTGTAACTCACCCCATCTGATACAGAATCACCTTGGACAAACTGCCACCGTTCCTTACTTAGATTCAATATCTCTTTATCACCATCAGCATACAAAACCTGTTTGAGGACGATAACAATAATTAATGTGAGCCCTACATACAAGAAAGGGAAAATAAAACCAATGATTGTGCCTTGCATAGAATAATTNTACAGAATCACCTTGGACAAACTCCCACCGTTCCTTACTTAGATTCAATATCTCTTTATCACCATCAGCATACAAAACCTGTTTGAGGACGATAACAATAATTAATGTGAGCCATACATACAAGAAAGGGAAAATAAAACCAATGATTGTGCCTTGCATAGAATAATTTATTATATTGACCTTATGCTTCTTGTTCACAGAATCAAAAGAATCAATAATTCCTTTATAAAACCTGCAAGTAACACAGTGCATATCAGTAATTTCAGACAGAAAATGTTCATCTTCAATCATAACAAGATTCCTAGGTCAAAGTACAGATTTTAATGAACCACCAAGAAAACATTGCAATATAAATTAGTAGCTGTTATGTAAGTTAAAATAAATTAGAACACCACCCCAAAAAAAACCAAATGCTCTGATTTCTTTTGAGAATGCAAATGTTAAAANATCATAACAAGATTCCTAGGTCAAAGTACAGATTTTAATGAACCACCAAGAAAACATTGCAATATAAATTAGTAGCTGTCATGTAAGTTAAAATAAATTAGAACACCACCCCAAAAAAAACCAAATGCTCTGATTTCTTTTGAGAATGCAAATGTTAAAATTACATCACCAACCAAATTTATATCAGCATATATGGTCTTAAATGTCATACCACTTGGACATATCATCAAATGTTATTATCATACCATCATAAAAGAGATATACGCACAACAAAATATTAAAAAACAAGATTGAAAAATGAAAATTCGNCTGATTTCTTTTGAGAATGCAAATGTTAAATTTACATCACCAACCAAATTTATATCAGCATATATGGTCTTAAATGTCATACCACTTGGACATATCATCAAATGTTATTATCATAGCATCATAAAAGAGATATACGCACAACAAAACAACTAAAAAATAGAGGTATAAAATATTAAAAAACAAGATTGAAAAATGAAAATTCATTAGTTAAGGAAAAACTTTTCCTCCAAACAGCAAATCACTATGGAATTGTGAACTCAGTTAAAAAAGAAAATACTTACTTACGATCTATTGGCCACCAAACTTTAACATTTGAACCAACCAGGTTCTCACCATATTCCAGAGTCTCGGATGCCTGCCGTGAAACAGTACAATTAGATAGAAATAGATTGAAGAAATATAATAGAGTAACCGTTTCCAGGGGTGCAAAGAAGACCAGTCCAGGGGTCATTCAACTCAACCAGAAGTATAAGCCTGCATCCCATGGACAAAGCCAGCATAGCTAAAAAACATGTACCATTCTCTATAATCTAAACCCAACCTAACTTTTTGAGCTTGAGAAATCATTGGGTTATCCTTGGCAGTGTAAATTAGGTCTTCATGCAAACGAGTGCTGGCAAACCAACAATATAATTCCGGCATGGTGGCCAACCTTTTTTTATATATGACTTTCAAACACAAAAAAATCCATGGTCTTCAATCTAATTACGGCATGGTGGCCGACCTCTCTTTATATAAATTATGTTAACACACGAGAAAAGTCACGGTTGTGCAGAGGCAAGGGCATGAGGACAAATTACATCAACTTGATTGTTATTTCCAACCCATCAAACCAAATTGAGGAGTGCCCACTCAAGTCGAACAACTATTGGTAAAATGGGCATTTTCAGGGAGTAGCCTGCTAGTCACCTCAGAAAACTTTGCCCCTGTAGGATGACGATTTGTTTGTGTCTCTGTGTTGTACAGGCAAGGATCAAAATATCGTTTCGGTGTATTGTTTCGGTCACCTAGGAAACGGAAACGTTTCGATGTGTTTCGGAAACGTTTCGACCCGTTTCGGAAACATAATGAAAAAAATAAAAAATTTAAGAATTATTTTTCTAAAATATTGATGAAAATATATCAAAATATCTTAAAATACCGCAACNAGAAAACTTTGCCCCTGTAGGATGACGATTTGTTTGTGTCTCTGTGTTGTACAGGCACGGATCAAAATATCGTTTCGGTGTATTGTTTCAGTCACCTAGGAAACGGAAACGTTTCGATGTGTTTCAGAAACGTTTCGACCCGTTTCGGAAACATAATGAATAAAATAAAAAATTTAACAATTATTTTTCTAAAATATTGATGAAAATATATCAAAATATCTTAAAATACCGCAAAACATTCTAAAACAATTGTGCAAATGCATTGAAATATTATAATACATTTAAAAATATTATGGAATACCTCAAAATATCAGAATTTCGATTTCATCACTGTTTCGTTTCGGTCTCCTTGAAAACGGAAACGTTTCGACCATTTTGAAACGATATTTTGATTCTTGTGTACAAGCTAATGTAGATTCCCCTTAAGTAAAAGTTTAAGAATAGAACAATTTTAACGAGTTAATTTTTTTATGGATCCATTATTAAACATTTTTCCAAATTAAATCATGTTTGTGACCAAGGCAAACATCCATCCACTAGTTATATTGCACCACAAATAACAAAATACCATCTTCATGAACTAGAAACAAAGTTGTACAGCAACCAAAAGAATTAAGCTATGGATATTGGTTTTATCCACTCTCCCTCATCCTCCTTTGATATTGTCAGCCCCCCAAGACTATCAAGAGAAGAGTGGAAAAAAAGGTAAACAAGAGAGCTGTAGAATTTCTTGCAATGANCTATCAAGAGAAGAGTGGAAAAAAAGGTAAACAAGAGAGCTGTAGAATTTCTTGCAATGATGAACTGGAAATTTCTACGTTTCTGAGAAACTGTAAATGGGTACCCACATTGTAGGAACTTTTGGAACCTCACATTGATATAGTAGTTACATCCGGCACAAGGTGGGATATATGTTGCAAATACACTAAATCCGACTGCAGACACAGCACATAAATTTTTTATGCAAAATTGAAGCCAAAATATCGCTAATGGATGAAAATCTAATAGTTCCACAACAGGGTTAAGCAAACTTACTTGGTCTTTGCCAGGGGTACGCTTTCGTTTGGGATTAGTCTTGGGGGTTTCTTCAAAGTGGCTTTCGTGTTTGGCTGACTTTGTGGCAGACTTGGGTGAAGAATTCATCTCCTATATAATATATTAGCAGTGTTTTAGCAGGCATGGTTCAAATATGAGGAAAAAATCATTTTATCAATGAATACTGGTAAACTACACCATCAATAGGACAGTAGAAGAAGAATAGAAGCCAATCAGAGAGTACTTTGACATCATCTTTAGGGGATGATTTTGTTTCATCCTTCTCCACAGTCTCTTTTCTGCGGCCACACCTTTTTCCATCTTCCTTCTTCTTTGATGAGGATTTGTTTTCAATGACCTTGCTTGCATCCACCTTCTTACCTGACTGCTCCAGCGGTTTTGCCTCTGAATCACTAGTTGTCCCACCTTCATTCTGGGTTATCTCTACCACCATTGGAATCCTATCCTCATAGTTAACAGCAGTTGCCTTCTTTCCCGACCGCTTATTGGGTTTTACTACTGAACCACTAGCTACTTCAGATTCCTTCTTCGAAACAACATCAGTAGATGGTGCAGCTTCTTGAATCAAGCTCTCCTTCTTTGGCCGCCCAGGTTTCTTCCGCCGACCCTCACCAAGAAGGCTCCCACTTGGGGATGGGGAAGCAACATTCATAGCCTCATTCTCTAAGGCTTTTGGTGAAGTAAGCTGAACATCAGACTCTTTATCACTTTTTGGATGTTCATCTGCCTCAACAGATGGATCCCCACCAAGCGAACTAGGAACAACCTTGCTGCGACCATCTTCCAGTATCTCAGCTTCTTTCTCGCTATCAATATGAGAAGAATCCAAAGGATCAGTTGATTTAATTAAAGAGTTAGGTTTCTTTCCTCTTCTCTTGACAGTTTGTTCTGGCTTAGACTCTGATTTGACAGACTTCCCAGCCTCTGAATCATCAGTATCAGCCCTGCTTACCTCACTAACATCAACTGATGGATTAGCAAGGTGACCATCCTCTGGCTTCTTTAAAGACTCCGGATCCATCAAAGTTCCGTCATTAGCAGTCTCTGCAATGCCATTACTCATAATCGGCTTAGGAGATCTTTCTGCAGAAGGATCAACCTCATCAGGACAAGCCTCGTCTTTCACCCTTTCTCTTGCTACCTGATTAAAGTTTCAACTGATTAATTTCCAGTCACATAGTCAGCAAATTTTGATGGATAAAGCACGAGTACAAAAAACAAAACAAAACATATAAAAAAAACAATAGAAAAAACAAATCAAAGAGCATGCCTGAGCTTCCTCGTCTGATGCTGCTGTAGCCAACTTGCTCTCATCATCCTGATGTATGTTAATACAAGGATGTGAGATTACCATAGGAGGTAACAGCAATGACGAAAGAACAAATGGTGTATAAAATGTGATGTTATGCATTAAAGAGTAGGAATTTAGGGGGGAATAAAATAGTGACATGCCTGAACAGCCTCAGCTGAAGATGCCTTAGCCAAGTTATTGTCCTGAAACACATTAACAAAGAAAGTCGCAAAGCCCAGATCATTAACAAAGTTTAGATCCCCGAAAAAAGTGAGGACAATAGTACGTAGTTAACAAAATCATATGTGGGTCATTAACTTCCATGGACACATGTACAAAAGTGATCCCTTAAGTGCGTTGTTAGCTCAATACGGTAGGCTGCTTGGATATCAAATTATCAAATGAACAATTAAAGGACAAATAACAAAAGGGTCCTAATGCTAAAAACAAGAGCTGGCATGATGAAGAACAAAAAGCTTCAAACTAGCAAGCTTTGATCAACCACCATCTGAAACTGCTATATAAAGCTTCATGATAGAGGTGAAACAATGTTAAGAAATAACAACAACGCAACAAAGTCGAGGAGAATTTGGTGGGTGAGTTAACAAAATGCTGTTCTGAGAATAAAAAGAAGCATACCAATTGTTCACCAATGAAAATGTCACCATTACACTCAACAGTTCCAATAGTCCCCTCGCACAGAGAAGTAACAACTTTACTGTAATCATCTAAAGAAGCACCCAATGATCTCACAGCTTGTGTCAGGACAGATTTAAGCTTAACCCCACAATTTTCAAGTACTCTCTCACCCAATTTCCGAGCAATTGGTAGAACTTCCTGAAAGAAGAAAGAACTGATCAGTGACAATAATGGAAAACAGAAGAGATACACGTGTACTAAACCAACTCTCAAATGATAACTGACCTCATTGTCCTTTTTTACACTAGCTAAAATTGGCATGAGCAACTCAAATGGAATATCTTCACTTTCTTCCAGTACAAGAGTCATAATTGTCTCCATGGACGAAAAAACAGTCTCTGGATGATAATCCCTGAAGTTGAACACTAGCAATCTGTTAGCCATTGAACAATTTTGACGACCATAAAGCTTCTTATCATTGATTTTAAATAATAACATCAACCTGAATATGTGTTTCTGAAATTAAGTTACTATAGGACACACGTCAGGAAGACAAGTACATGAATTCTAACACGAAAACAAATCAAGGGGCTATTAGACACATCAACTTGCAGACAGAAATTGGGCCAAGGAAGAAGATTGGGGTGAACAGGGGGATGAGTGAGTATATTCCACGAAGACCAGACAAAAAGGTAAAATTGTTGGAACAAGCTGTAATTACTAAAATTCTCAGAAGGAATAGTATTGATGAAGCATTAAGAATCAAACATCAAAAATGGTTTGTATAGTTGACCTTAACGTTTACATTATATAGCTGAAATTACTTTATCGAATTCAGCAAAGTCAAACAAAAACTGTAGCCTGATAAATAAAAAAAAAACAACATGAAAATCCCCCTCCTCTGTTAGATTAACCCATAAAGACACACCCTGCAGTTTGTAAAAGCTAAAACTATTTCTGAAAGTAAAAATTGATCCCAAGGGTGAACCAAGATAAGTACCAATATGCACACAAATCCCCTATTTAATCCAGAACCATACACATCCCCTACGTTGAAAAATTCACTAAAACCCGATCGTATGTATAAGTGAGGCAAGAATGATAAAATAACAAAAAAAAAAAAGACATCACCTATCATTCTACCTTACCTATTCTGTTTCAGATTTAAAAAATAAAATTCCAATGGCATAAAGAGATACATATTAAAAAATGTCATTATAATTGCACAAACAGATCCCACATTGCATTGGCAAAGAAAGCATAAATCAGCACAAAATATTAGGCCATACCTTATTGCTTTTAGAAAGTGCTGGAACATCTCAACAATCAGCCCATCACATTCCAGATCCAACATGACCACACATGATCTGACTTTGGCCAGAGTCTCAAGAATCAAGGCCCTCTTATCATTTGATCGGCTGGACTTGTCAGACAAATTCTCAAAGGAAGACACAATCAACTGGAAGACATCCTGTGTAGCCATAGAAATGAAATTCACAAAAAATGGGAAAAGCAAGAAATTGTATGAGAAGGAATCAAAACTGACAATTCTGGGTACCTTCATTTGGTCATCATCATATGGAGCATCTGGTGCAGTAATCCTTGTTATTTCACTGATGCACGAGGCAACTGCAACTTTCACATCAACATCTGAATGCTTTAGAAGTTCATCTGCAACCAACGCCTTCATTGATGGACAAAGTGCAGCATGGGTTGATTTGGGCGGTGACTGCTCCACCCTCGATAGAAAACTCTCAACTTGCTTAAAAGCACAAGAAAAATAAAAATATCATATGAATGCATTTAAAAGCAAGTAAACCAAAAAAAATAAATGAATTCACCATTCCTGCTGTATAAGATATTACAGGAAAACAATAATTGGGTAAATACATTTCCAAATTCAAAATGGAGAAAAATAGCCAAATTCACTCATTTCCACATCATATACTATCATATAACTTGGCAGTATAGTGTCAAAATCTACATTTGACCAAACCCATTTACAAAGTCACTCAACTGATCAGGAAACTACAAGAAGAACTAAAACAGAGGCATATTTATGAGAAAATATTTCCCAACATGACAAGAAATGTCATAAATAACATGCAACACAAGAGTTGTGTCGTAAAATACTAAATTAGCCCAACAAATGAGAAGCAAAATTATCAAAATATCTCAATAACCACGTCGAAACACCTAATGAAAAAAATAA